TTTTTACGTAGTGTAGCCTGGGGGTGAAGATGGAGTCGGGGTGTTAGGGTAGAGTGCTGTCACACTGGGAGTCGAAGAAGCCTGTTGCCCAGTCCGATGGGTTTTTGCGGTGCCTGTAAGCGTTCGCACTCCCTCAGACGTCTGGTTTGTCGCGGTTTCAGGGCATGAAGGGCAACGACAACGTGTACTCGGACTCTGATGATGACCAGCACGATGCCTACCTCGAGAGGATGAAGGAGGAAGGGAAGATCCGGGAGGAGGCGGCCAACGACAGCAGCGATGAATCGGGAGAGGAGACCGGTGAGTGACGGGCCAGGGGGGCCAATCAGAGCTGATGACTGTGTGCGCGAGGTTGTGCAGTTGTTGCATGCCTGGACCACCCGATAAATTAACAGCTCTAACGCACTCTGGATTTGACTCGCAAAATCTGCTCAAATTTCGTCTGTAAAATCAGAGATGCCCCGAATTTCCAAACGGAAATGCACAAATACAAAAACAAGGTGAAGAGAAATACTACATGGGAATTTAAAATTCTGGAGTGCCGCTGGTGCCCTACAGGGGTGGATCGATTGTGATGGGTGTGTTTTTGCACCTGTCAGATGCATCTGAGTTTTTTTACAGAATTTTTACAACACGTCAAATGAGTTTGTGTGTTCATGATAAAAATAGTTTTCGTTAACTGTGTTGATTGCTGTTTCCTTCTAAATCTTTTAACTAATTTTAAGGTATATGAGACATTAAAGTTAGATTATGTGTAACTATACTGCATGTAACTACTATTTATGATGTATATACTATATATAGCTATACTATAGATATGATCAGGCTGAAAAAACCTCATTTGAGACTTCACAGCCACTTGGCAGTAATGGACACCCCTAACCTTGACCCGTTATGAGTCCGATTGCCGGTAGAGCTCCTTAAATCGGGGGACTGTTCAGGGGCAGGGGGGGCATTTAACAGCAGACGCTGTGAAGAAGGACACGGAAGTCTTACTGCCCTGACAGCACTGTACCCGAGTTAGGCAGGTCCACTCCGAGACCTGAGGGAGGTGAATAACAGTGGGGTCCCCTGGAGAGAGTGGGCCGCACTGCGAATCGGCACCCGAGCTCCTCCCACGGGAGGACGGGGCTGAGATCCGAGGCACAACCAGGCTGCCAGTGAACACGGGGGTCACACCGGAGGGGCGGGGCCCCTGTCTACATTGACAGGAAGTGAGGTCGTCTCCGGCGGAAAGCGCCGCCTGTCGTTCTCACGTGCGTTGTGTTCTGGGCTTTCCCTTCCAGACGAGTCCTTCAATCCCGGAGAAGAGGACGAGGACATCGCGGAGGAGTGAGTACTTGTCGCAATCGTCAGTGGGGTTAGTGTTGATGGGGTAATGAGCGTCGCTCTGTTCCGGGGTCCTCCTGACCCTCTGCTCTGTCCCCCACTCCCCCCCCCACGCAGGTATGACAGCAACGCCTCGGCCAGCGACAGCAGCGCGGACGATGGGGAGAACGACAGCGAGGCCGAGAAGGAGAGGCCTCCCAAGAAGGTCAAGGTGGAGAAGGAGAAGAAAGTGTCGAAGCCCCGGAAGAAGGAGGTGAGAGGGCAAGTGGGGGCACCCCGGGGGAAGGGGGGCCCCTTTCTTC